CTTTCCCTAAGATAACATACATGCTTGCGGATGAAAGATGACACGCAATCCAAAATGAATGATTTGAATTATAATTGGCAAATTTCAAGATGGCCATTTATGTGTGACTTTACTATATTTGTCCATTAAAGGCCATATTTTCTTAATGGGAAATATTCAACAACTAAAATTTCTCAAAATAACTGTATGGTGTTTAAAAAAGGGTTTGTATATATATAATACAATATAAATCATAGGGTTAGGTGGTAACGATTATGAATTATTGATAAGAGGGATCACGGATTATTAATCCAACTTCAACGGTTGTACCAACCACTTAAGGACCAACGAGTTTCAATCTTTTTTATGCACCAAGAGGATAAATTATTTCGTTTTTCGGCTCAAAACGTTTCGGCTTTAAATTGGAGATCGCGGTGCGTCGGGAAAATCAACAAACGACAGCCATCTGCTTTAACTCCTCTCTCTCTCTCTCTCTCTCATTTTATAACCAGAGAAAACAGCAAAGCCAAGGTTGCAGAAGAAGAAGAAGACAAGGATCGAAGAAACCAGATGAGAGTCCGATGCTGGATCCTGTCCCTGTTCCTGCTCTCAGTTTCAATGGCACTTGGAGAAACATCATCCTTACGTAGCCACAGCAAGCAGAAGCTTCTCGAGTTCCAAGAAAAGATCCAACACCGATTGGCTTCTGCTCCCATTTTCCCGCCATTGTCTTCTCCACCACCTTCTTCTTCCCCTCTGCCCCCTTTTCCCCGCCATTGTCTTCTCCACCACCTTCTTCTTCCCCTAAGATGGTATGTGTATATACGTACGTACGTTCATATCTATCTATCTATATATATGTATGCGTATATGGTCTGACGCGAGGGACTGAATGCAGATTGGGAGAGTGATATACCCAATCGGGTATGGAGCAGACCCGAGAGGAGAACAAGACAGCAGTGACGCAATACTCGCAGCTTTAACTGATGCTTTTCATTTACAGAGTGGACTTCAGTTGCTGCCACGTGTCACCGACCTCGGCGGTCTCGTCCTTGATCTCCAAGGCGGCAACTACAAGATCTCCAAACCCCTCCGGTTTCCTCCCTCCGGCGGCGGCAACCTCGTTGTCCGTACCATCATCATCATCATCTAAAAAAAACTCATTTACCAACTCTCGTTTTGATAGATTTGTCTTTCTGATTCCAAACCTAATCCACATGATTCAGGTTCAAGGAGGAACTCTCCGGGGATCCGACGAGTTTCCCGCCGACCAGCATTTGGTCCAATTAGTCTCCCCATCCTCTGTCAAAATGTCGTCGGAGAATTCTCCTCCACAGTTCTCCGACGAGGAAGACCAGAGTTCCGGGATCTTCTACGAGGACATAACCTTCCGGGATGTACTTTTCGACTCGAACTTCCGAGGTGGGGGCATTTCGGTGATTGACTCCGCCCGAATCCGAATCAACAACTGTTACTTCCTGCATTTCACAACACAGGGGATACAGGTTCAGAGGGGCCATGAGATACTCATATCAAGCTCCTTCTTGGGGCAACATTCAACTGTAGGCGGAGACAGCCAGGAGAGGGAATATTCCGGGACTGGGATCGATATCTCGAGCACGGACAATGTGATCACCGATGTCGTGATTTTCTCGGCGGCCGTCGGGATCTCATTGAATGGCCCGGCTAATATTGTCACTGGAGTGCACTGCTACAACAAGGCAACGTGGTTCGGAGGTGTTGGCATTTTGGTAAAATCGCCATTGACGAGGATAGATAACTGTTACCTGGATTACACAGGTATAGTCATCGAAGATCCTGTCCAGGTTCACGTCACAAACGGCCTGTTCTTGGGGGATGCTAATGTAGTGTTGAGATCCATAAATGGTCGGGTTTCGGGGCTAAATATCGTCAACAACATGTTCAATGGCGACCCGAAACACAACTTCCCGATCATCAAGATCGAAGGAGAGTTTCATGATATTGACCAAGTGGTCATCGATCAGAACAATGTAGAAGGCATGACTCTGAAATCAACATTCGGGAAGCTGCTGGTTTCGATGAACGGGACACAGTGGGAGGCCGACTTTTCCCCGGTTCTGGTATTCCCAAACCGGATAAGTAACTTCCAATATTCATTTTTCGCACAAGCTGAGCAGATTCCTGCTCATGCTGTTATCAATGTTTCCAACAATGTGGTAGTAGGACAGACAGATAAGGCTGTCACTGGAACTGTATCAGTGATTGTTTATCAGTAAAATCTTTCACAGAGAAAGTGATTCTCTCATGCTACATTGCAATTATGTTTGGTTTGTAGTTTAAACAAAAACTGAGATATAAACCAGAAAGCTAACCTCTTGATCTTCATAATTTATCTTCACTTGTATATTAGATGAGCCCGTCATCTCCAACGGGAGTAAGTCTGATCTTCTAACCAGCAATGGCTGCTTGGGCCATGTTGAATGCGATCTTTAACCTTGGTATCGGTTAATACCAGCAATCTGCCAACTCATCACTCGCTTCTTCTGGGGGTTGACGCTTCTCAGGGGGTCCTGAGGTTCTTGGGTATCCTCTGAAATCATCCTTCCCTGGTTTTGCGATGTCGACATAAATCACCCTACCATTGTAAACCTGGAACAAGATGAGAAGAATCAATAAGAATTGTGACAGAAAGTATGTTGTTGTTGCAGCAGTTGCCGAACAGTTTATTTACCTGACGATCCATGGTTTCCAAGGCTAGCATTGCATCATCTTGACATTTGTATTGAATAAATGCATATCCTTTTGATCTCTTCGTGGATCCATCCTTGACAACCTTAACTGTTGAAAGATGATTAAGACATCAATGAAACTTTTAAAGCTAATCAATAAGAATTGTGATGAGCAGATCATTATAATGGAGCAAACGCAGGTTCTTGAAACAAAACTCATAGCAAGTGGAAACACATTTAGTAACCTTCAGCTATCTCTCCAAAGGCTGAGAATTCCTTCTGCAGAAAATGTTCACTAGTAGCAAACGGTAGATCTGCAGATTCGAAGAAAATAAACTGTCAAAACAGAGAGAACTCAGCGAAAACGGAGACAAGACAAAAAGTAAAAAAAAAATCATACATCATAGAGGTTTAGCTCAAATTGCATCTCCAAAGCAATTCAAAGTTTTCTCCAAAGAACATCATCGGATTTATCTCATTTTGTTGATAACATAGTGAACCAGAGGATCATAGTATCATACTATGCCCTTGAACGCTAGACGAAAAGCCATAAATTCCCCAAAAAATCACAAACAAGTTGTATGTTTTTCACACTTGTTCTTAGTTCCATAACAGAAAAAAGCAGATTGCTTTGTTCATAAAAAAACCTCGGTGCTTCTCATCCGTTAACCGATCTTGATCAACTTAGCGTAATACAATTTCGTCACCATGGTTTCATAAATAAAAAAAAGTCCTCATCATGGAGCAATAAAAAGCTTAAGAAATATCATGAAACAGGGGAATTCCACGTATTTCAGCTATAAATGAACTCAATCCACCGAAATTAAAAACACCCAAATCTATCAAATTTGAATCTACCCCACAACTCATCACAGAATGAGGAACTCATTCGGAATTTCGGATTCAACCAAAATCAAACAAAAAGTAGCAGCAGAATCTTACTTTTGACCATAATTTTGCTGGCGAGAGGGTAATTGGAGAGAGAAGCATGGATCCTCGTAAACTTAGGGTTTCTCCGATTTAATAGAGACGACGGAGAAGCTACGGGGGGAGGTAACGAGAACGTCGCCGCCAACATGGTGCTCCGGTTGCCGTGGAGAGAGAAACCGTCGCGAAGATTTTGGACCCAATAGACTATAAACGGCGCCGTTTCCATATGGGCCTTGTAAAGCCCAATTACGTCTAGGCCCAATTAAGCAGATCCAGTAATGTATGTTTCGGATTATTTTGTGGAGAGAATATGCGAAATGGAATTCAAAACATCAAAAGGCAAAAGAGTTAAAACTTTATTAAATAAAAAGAGTTTCCATTATTACGAAATGAAGAAGATCTCAGCATTCAGAAAAGCGTTCGGATCGGACCACAAAATTCCATCTTCGAAGAATGCTTCAGACCGGTTCAGCTCCGGTTCACACTTCTCATTCTCCATCTCTTGCAACCGATCATGATCCGATTTTTGGGTATCTCCCCAAGTGAGCAACCACCCTTCGTCGTCAGATAACCGGTAATCCTGCTGGAAATTCATGTTAACCGGACCTCTCGGAATTCGGTTAACGCCTGAACCGGTTGGTTTTCCGGTAAACTGTTGAACCAGGGCACGGAAATTATCGGTAGTGGACTCGTCCCGTCGCCGCCTGGATGAACTTGTAAATCGTTTTCCGATAGGCCTCGAGATAAATACTCTGTTATGGTTTAATATCTGCTTATTGGGCATGTTTGTTTTTCCATTGTTCATGGTTCTGTATATAGTTTTCAAGGCTTGGTTTCACACTTGAGAGAGAGGGAGAGTATATGCGTGCATAAGTTTGTGTGCATATGTATCTTTATACGGGTAACGGAAGTTGACCAAATCGAATTTGAAGATTCGAGAGGTAACATACTAGGTTTATATATTCATATATGCATGTGATAATATATATTAAAAATCATGATATGCCTTCTGTATATAGTTTTCAAGGCTTGGTTTCACACTTGAGAGAGAGGGAGAGTATATGCGTGCATAAGTTTGTGTGCATATGTATCTTTATACGGGTAACGGAAGTTGACCAAATCGAATTTGAAGATTCGAGAGGTAACATACTAGGTTTATATATTCATATATGCATGTGATAATATATATTAAAAATCATGATATGCCATATGGTATTTGAACATGGTTTTTTTTGGTAAACTTTATTTTCTTTTTTTCTTTTTTTTTTTGGTAAAGGTGATTTGGATTAATCAAAAAACAAATTTTACAACCAGTTCCAAACTGTATACAAAATGATTATGAACCCATGAGAAAATGGTAAAAGAAAATCCGATCATAAAGAGTAAAATAATAATCTCATCAGCTATGGAGGTCGAGAATATCGTGTCAGGTAGTACCATTCAGCAAGAAGAGAGCATCCTTGGGAGGAAGGCTTGCACTTGGAGGACAGGAGAATATTTCGCATCGTTCGATCAACTTTCCAACGGGTGTATTCGATGGATCTGCATCTTCCACGAAAAATTCGGTAATTTCGTTCCCTCCATATTTCATAGATGGAGGTTTGTAGCACAAGCTTGGCAATGTATCTTCTACCGCTTGAGATATCCTGCGATGGATTTCTGAACCAATCCACAATGCATGCGAGAGTACTAGGTGGATTCGACCAACATACCTCACCAAAGTGACGCCAAAGAACCAAAGTGACGCCAAAGAGAGGAGGCATAGTTGCACTCAAAGAATAAGTGATGATGAGATTCACCAGCCATATCACATAGCCTACACCGAGTGTCTGCTGTGACACCCCAACGATGAAGCCGGTCTTTTGTCGGTAACCGCTCCATCATAACCTGCCAATGAAGTATAGCATAATGGGGAATACATCGGGCGAACCATACTAAAGAATGCCAGGGGACTGTTTGTGCCGCGTTTCTGATTAGCCGCCAAGTCATTGAAGAAGAGAAGTGTGGTCTGTAGTCATTATCTTTATATTTCCACAGGTGGGTGTCCGGACCTCTTTCAGACGAGGGAGGTGATGTCGTTGAGAGACAAATCTGAAGTTGCTGCAATCGGTCTGAGCGTGCTCCCGGGAGTGTCCAAGATCCATCAGCTGCAGCTTGATTAACCGTGGAATGCAGAGGGAGTCGTAGGTGACAGGGGCCAGCCGCACCGACCCATTTAAGCAATGATCCAAATATCGTCCATGGGCCATGCCAAAACAATGTTGATTCACCATTTCCTATCTGAACTTTTAGAAATTGAAGAGCCAAGTCCTTCAGATCCAAGAGCTTACGAAAATTCCAAGAGAAACGTACAGATGATGAAGTGATCCAGAAACAGCGGCACTTGAGCACATTCAACTTCGTCCAAGCTACCCCGAGGGATCCTGACTTGGTAAATAACATCCAAATGAGCTTTAAGCGAAACACCATATTAAAGTACTCAGCAATGCTTCGTAGCCCTAATCCACCCTCTTGACGCGGTAAGCAACAAGTAGACCAGGAAATCCGACGGGCCTTCTCTGTACCCCATAAAAACCCCGAGCATAGGCTGTCTACTTGCTTCAAGAAGTATTTAGGAAGTAAAAACATCATACTCCATGCATTTATCATTCCATAAATGACAGTGCCTATTAGTTGAATCCTTCCAGCATAGGACAAAAATTTAGAGGTCCAAGAGTTTAACCTGCCTTTGATGCGATCAATCAGCACTTGGTAATCTGTCTTACTTTTCGTATATTCTGATTTTGGACAGAAGACAACATGATGAAAAAAAAAACATCCTACAATGTGGTATCGTGGACAAACGCTCGACCTATATCCCATTTGTATGATCATCATCATCATCATCATGATCGTACACGTGGCATGCATTCTCTAATAGCTAATCAAGCATCCCATGGAGATCACTCATCATAAACTCCTCAAGCATAGTGGTGTCACATAAATCTTGGGGAAGATCATCATTGTCCATGCCGTCCACGCCATCGCCATGACAACCATGATGATCATCGCATGCACCATGTAACATCAGACCACTTTCTTGGCCCATCTGAGACGACGTCGTTTCCTTACCTCTCTCGCCGTTTCCCTCGCGTAGCGGCCAAGCCTCATGAAGGGTGTTTTCGTAATTCCGCTCGTATCCACCACCTCCGGAGCGCGGGAAAATGTCTTCCTCCGATACCGAACTTGGCGAACTGAAGTCCAAAGATCGCATGCACCATGTAACATCAGACCACTTTCTTGGCCCATCTGAGACGACGTCGTTTCCTTACCTCTCTCGCCGTTTCCCTCGCGTAGCGGCCAAGCCTCATGAAGGGTGTTTTCGTAATTCCGCTCGTATCCACCACCTCCGGAGCGCGGGAAAATGTCTTCCTCCGATACCGAACTTGGCGAACTGAAGTCCAAAGTAAACTAGGTTTAGAGAATAGGGTTTTCGTATTATTAAGTTTGTAACATACAAGAGGAATATATACATGATTGAATACTTTAATGATGGAGTGAGTTTAGGTAACAAATAACATAAACATAGGAACTAATTGATACGCGTATAAACAATAAGATTATAATAAGATTTCCTTCCATTACGCCCCCGCAAGATGAGGCTCGTGTGCGAGACCAATCTTGACCCGAAGAAGATCAAAGCGTGCTCGAGGTAGCGGCTTTGTTAGGGCGTCGGCCAACTGATCATGGGAAGAGACATGGGAGACTCGGAGTAGACCGTCTTGTACAAGACCTCGAATGAAGTGGTAGTCAATAGCAACGTGTTTCATACGTGAGTGAAACACGGGATTGGCGCATAGATAGGTTGCGCCGACATTATCGCAGAAGATAACGGGTGTTGAGGAAGAGACAATACCAAGCTCCGAGAGCAGTGAAGTGAGCCATCGGATTTCAGAGGCGGTAGTTGCAACAGACTTGTATTCCGATTCGGTAGACGATCTCGCTGCCGTGCGTTGCTTCTTAGATGACCACGAGATCGGGTGACTGCCATAGTAAACAATGTGTGCGCTTGTAGAGGTGAAATCGTCACGGTTACCTCCCCAATCCGCATCCGAAAAAGCATGGAGATTGGCTGTGTTTCTTGAGGTGTAGAAGAGGCCAAGTGAGGAGGAGCCAACAAGATATCGTAGGACACGCTTTACAGCTTGCCAATGGTCGGTTGTGGGCCGATGCATAAACTGCGATAGCTTGTTCACTACGTATGCGATGTCGGGTCGTGTGAAGTTGAGATATTGCAAGCTTCCAACAATGTTTCGGTACTCTAAAGGATCATCCAATGGTGTGCCCGAGTTCAACGTCAAGGAAGTGGTAGAGGACATGGGCGTAGATACCGGCTTCGCATTCAACATGTTTGTCCGTTTGAGAAGATCCGTAATGTACCGTCGTTGTGTGAGATAGAGACCGGTGCTGGAATGTGAGACCTCAACGCCGAGAAAGAATGATAGATTTCCGAGATCTTTGAGAGAGAACCGAGCAGCGAGCCTATCAATGAAGGATTGACACCGTGCTGGATCATTTCCCGTGATGACAATGTCATCGACGTATACCAACAAGTATAGGACGACAGTGGAATCACGGAAGATAAACAACGAAGTGTCGGCCAAGGAGTTGATGAAACCTGAGGCAAGAAGGAAACTCCGTAGCTCGGTGTACCAAGCTCTTGGAGCTTGCTTGAGTCCGTATAGAGCTTTGTGAAGCTTGCATACATGTGAGGAGCGATCTTGATCAACAAAACCGGGAGGTTGGACCATATAGACATCATCCGTGAGTTTGCCTTGGAGAAAGGCGTTGTTGATATCAAGTTGACGAAGTGGCCATCGTCGAGTTACCGCAAGACTTAGTACCAATCGAATTGTAGCCGGTTTAACAACCGGACTAAAAGTGTCATGGTAGTCAACACCGGGACGTTGATGAAAGCCCTTTGCCACCAAGCGAGCCTTACACCTGTCAAAAGAACCATCGGCACAACGTTTAGTGCGGAAAACCCATTTACATCCAACTATGTTGTAGGAGGAGTCCGGAGGAACGAGATCCCAAGTTCCGTTTTTCACAAGAGCGTCAAACTCTTCCGTCATAGCTTGTCTCCATTGGGGTGATTTGAGAGCTTGGGATACACACGTGGGTTCGGTGAGGGATGGTTCAATGTCGGTGGTCGTGGCTTTGAGAATGTTGTTGGCAAATTTGGTGTTGGGTTTGGTGATATTATTTTTGGATCGGGTGGTCATGGTATGAGTGTTTCTTGTGGAGGAAGTAATTTCAGGGGGAAGGTTTATAGTGGGAAGTTCGATAAGGGTGGTGTCGGTGTGCGCTGTGGGATCTATAGGAAGTGTTGGTGGTTCGGTATTTGAGCTGGACGAAGGCGAGTTTGGTAGGTTTGGTGAATGTAAGGGTGAAGAATTACTTACCGGAGAAGAGGAGGAACTCGGTGAAGACTGTCCAGGCGAAGGATCCGAGGGCATGGGCGTAGCTTGTGGAGACAGTGGCATGGGTGAACATCTTGGGACAAGGGTATGGGAAGGAGACACTGATGGATAACATGTTCCCGTCGAGGAGACATCGGCCGAGTCAGCCATGAGACGAGAAAAAGGAAATGAGGTTTCGAAAAATGTGACATGTCGTGAAGAGTATACTCGTGACGTGGAGGGATGAAAACATAAGAATGCAGTTTGGGTCAAAGAGTATCCGACAAAAAGACAAGGCATTGATCGTGGATCAAGTTTGTGATTGGAATATGGTCTCAACCAAGGAAAGCACAAGCAACCGAAGGTGCGGAGCTTGTGATAGTTTGGTGCGGTACCAAAGAGAGTTTCAAAAGGCGATTTGTCATGTATGACTTTGGTGGGGAGTCGATTTATGAGGTATACGGCGGCTGGAAACGCAAACGTCCAATAGGACCGTGGAATGTCGGCTTTGGATAGGAGTGTGAGTCCCGTTTCCATGATGTGCCGATGTTTGCGTTCCGAGATGCCGTTATGCTCGGGTGTATGTGGAGGTGTGGTTAGGTGAGTAATACCGTGGGTCGCAAGAAATGAGCGAAGAGCTATATATTCGCCCCCGTTATCCGAGTAGAGTGTTTGAATGCGATGATTAAATCGGTTTTCGACCAATGGTTTAAATCGAGTAAAAATCTCGTGGACTTGTGATTTTTGTTTGAGGGGATAAAGCCACGTATACCGCGTGAAATGATCGACGAAAATAACATAGTACTTAAAACCATCGAAGGAAGTTACGGGAGACGACCATACATCCGAAAACAAAATCTCAAGTGGACGAGAAGACTTAATAGTCGATACCGAAAAAGGGAGTTTATGACTCTTATTGATAGCACAAGGTTCGCATAACATGTTGCGAGTTTTATTGGACGACAAAGGCAAAGAAAATTGGTTGATGACCTTATTTAAAATTTCGGAAGAAGGATGGCCTAGTCTAGAATGCCAATCTGAGAAAGTAATGGTAGTGGCCGAGAAAGCATGGTGAGATGGGTTAGACGCGAGATGAGAAGAAGATGGCCACTCATACACACCATCCTTAAGCTGCCCTTTTGTGAGAGATGCCCCCGTCTTTAGATCCTTCACCTGAAAAGAAAAAGGGAAAAATTCCACCGAGACAAGGTTAGATTTGCAAAGTTGGTGGATGGAGATCAAGTTCTTATGAAGAGTAGGAACACAAAGCACATTGGTAAGTGATAAAGATTGAGAGGGAGAAGTAAGGGATGTGGAACCCGTGTGTGTAATTGGATGCATCGATCCATAAGAGTGTCAAGATCGGATGTAATGTGATGTGATGCGCCGGAATCTAGTAGCCAATTCGGAGATGGTGTTGAGGCTGAGAGGTTTGTGTTGTGAGCTCGAGGACGCCAAGGAGCAGGGCCCTGAGAGGTTGAGACAGGCGGTGCAGACTGGGAAGCCGAGGAGGGGAGGAGATGGCATCGGCGAGCGCTGTGGCCAAAGGTTCCACAGAGTTGGCACTTCCCTTGGTAACCGGTGGACGAACGCCGAGAGCGAGAGTCATTGGTAGATCGGGGCTGATGTTGCCAGGAAGGACGGCTGGGATGTTTTGCTTGAGCATTGTGTGCCGAGATAGGCATCACCGACGGCAGTGGCTCAGAGGCAAGGAGAACCGATTCATGGTTCAATAGTCGTTCGTGAAGTTCCACAAACGAAATGGGCAAGTCACGAGCATTGATGGCGTCCTTGATAGGGCGATATTCTTCGCCAAGGCCTGACAAGATGAGATCCACGAGGTCTTCATGATCGAGGGGCTTGCCAAGAAGGGCTAACTCGTCACCCTTGGTTTTGTAGAAGTGCATGAATTCATCAATGGACTTTCCACCTTTGGTGAAGCGTCGCATGTGGTCCTTGATTTGTTTGATATGCCCTCTGCTTGATCGGCCATAGGTTGAGGCAAGAATGATCCATGCGTCGCTTGTGGTGGTGGCTCGAGCAATGAGGGCTTGGCATGACGTCGAGATGGAGCCGAGAAGGGCTGAAAAAATCAGCCTATCTTGGCGAAACCATGAGGCATAGGCGGGATTTGTCACGGACGTGTTGTTTTCAGTTGTCGTCGGGGAGACGGACTTGTCGGCATCAAGGAAGTCTTCGAGGTTGTAACCTTGAAGAAGGGAACGGATTTGCAGGCTCCATGTAAGGTAATTGGACGCCATGAGTTTGGAGATATTGGTGACGTTGATGTTGATCAACGGAGAAGAGGAGTTATCGGGATTGTAGGGATGAACGGTGTCGGTGGACACGGGAGTGCCATCAGATGAAGGTGTTGCAGCGGCAGACATGGTGGCTTAGTTTTGGATGGCGTGGAAGACAAGAACAGGATGTCGCAAGACGTCGGCTCTGATACCATAAACTAGGTTTAGAGAATAGGGTTTTCGTATTATTAAGTTTGTAACATACAAGAGGAATATATACATGATTGAATACTTTAATGATGGAGTGAGTTTAGGTAACAAATAACATAAACATAGGAACTAATTGATACGCGTATAAACAATAAGATTATAATAAGATTTCCTTCCATTACAAAGTCACCGGAGCTCTTCTTCTGAAGTAGTTTTCTCCGCCGTAGGTACGGCCGGTGAACTGCTGAACTAGGGCCCGGAAGTTGCTAGGGTTTGCGTTGACGAATGTCGCGGGTTTGGCTCTTCTCGAAGCCCTAGATCGCCGGGAGGCCATCTCTGGGGCCGCCACGTGGACTCCGGTGAAAGATTCCGACGATGACGTCACTTTTACGGCGGTGACTGACGGATCCATTTCCTGTACTCGTTGTTCATAGTATTGTAACCATCGTTCTGCTTCAGAGTTGCTGTTCATTCTTTGTTTCTTTTAGTGCTCTTTTTTTTTTTAATTATTTTTATTCTTTGTTCCTTTTTTTTCCTTGAAGAGACAGACCATAGGGTGAGTCCAAGTTCAAGGTCCTTTTTATATGCAGGGAAATGTTTAATCAAATTCATTATGGCATTTGCATTGAATTCCACGCTGAATTTAGGATAATACGGTTTCTTGTTTTTACCCAAAAAAAAAATTGGTTTATTGTTTATTCAGATTTGTTTGAGAGAATGAGAGCATTTTTTTTTGTTAATTATTTATATCAATGACTTCAATACCATAGTTTTAAAATCTGTAAAAAAAAAAAAAAAGTATGAAGCCAAATATATTAAAAGTGGATTTCTACTCATGAAAATCTAATGAGAAATAAAAAAAAAAAAAACAGATTTCTAAAACGTCCATAATTACTAATCCGATCCATATCGTGCGAGCACATCACTTAAATCGATCGATCATTATATATATATAAGCTAAGATGTCGAACGATGTCCGTTAGCAATGACGAGAAGATGCTAACGTCGTATTTTTTCCGTTACAGTTATACCTAAAAACAATTAGACCTCGTTTTAAATGCGGTCATCTTATTACAAAATTCACGGGGGACAGTGACTTCAAATCAAACCGTACATGTATCTTCTGATATTCTATTTCTGAGTTTGGTTCGGTCATACAATTAAGCCCCTCTTCGTTTGATTTGATCTTCCCCCTCCATTCTCGAATTCTACCTAATAAAAAAGATAATAATCCTCCAAATAAAATAAATTATCCCGACGATGTTCACAACCATAGTAAATATTTGTTGGGTTGATCGTATTATTCTTTTTTTTTTAAATTGTTATAAATATGTAACCGACTAAATTCAACAATAGAGAAGGAAAAAAAAAGATAAGCGAATTTTATTCAAGAAGTTGAATCAATGATTTTCGTCATAAAACATCGGCGATGTCAATATGATCTACGCGTTGTGTTTGCGAGAGGGACAAGACCAAGTCTTTTGATTTCGTGAAGAAGGAAAAAAAACTTCAACAAATAACCATTCTACATGAACCGGAACGGACGACCATTCTGGTCGGATTCTTACCAAAGTCCGTGGGACCTTTTTTTTTTTTATACAAAGAATACACACATCATTGCACACTCTACTCCACTGTGATCTCCAAGATGGTGGTGAGTCTTGGCCTCTTGTATCTTCTAAGAAGCAAGGACGAGCAAACGACGCTGACCGACGACAGAGCCATGCACGTTCCGGCGGCCCACGGCGGCAACTGCACCCTCAGCGACGGGAAGAACACTCCTGCCGCTACCGGGATCGCCACCACGTTATATGCCATGGCAAACACGTAATTTAGTCGGATCCTCCTTAAGGTTTTCCGGGACAGATCGATGGCCGTGATCACGTCTTCCAGGTTGTTCCTCATCAGGACATAGTCCGCAGCTTCCACCGCTATATCTGTTCCCGCCCCGATCGCCATACCGACATCCGCTGCAACTAAAGCAGGCGAATCGTTGATCCCATCTCCCACCATAGCCACCGTGCTTCCGTCTCTCTGCAACGAATGTATCACATCCGCCTTCCCCGCCGGCATCACCTCTGCCCTCACATCTTCGATCCCGACCTGTTCATATATATATATATATATGTATATATATCATACAGGTGATTCTCCTCCATCATTGAATCATTTATAAGAAATGAAAATGTATATGAATGTGGGCTTAACCTCCTTGGCGACAGCTCTGGCTGTTCTCCAGTTATCGCCAGTGACCATTATGGGTCTAATGCCCATTTTAAGGAGACCCTCCACGACCACTGCCGCCTCTCGCTTTAGCCGATCCGCAACTCCGATTGCGCCTACCAGTTCGCCGCCGTAGCCTACAAGTATTCCCGTCTTTGCACTTTCTTCAAGCTCCACTACGAAACTCTCCACGTGGTCCGGGATAGCAATACCGTTCTCCATCATAAGTTTACGATTCCCTACCTGATTGATGGAAAGATTAACCCTCTGGTTAAAAGCAAAGATAGAAAAAATGTTCCACAATCGAAAGCAGCTGTAATGAAATATAATAACTCAACCAGAACAAGCTTCTCGTTAACGAAGCATCGAATTCCTCTTCCCGGAAGAGCGGAGAAATTCGAGGTATAACTGTCGACGAAGAGCGGAGAAATTCGAGGTATCGAGGAGCCATCCAGAAACTCGGGAGTCTTTGTTGTCTGTTTCAGACTCGTCAAAGAAGTGGAAATGCCGAGCGTATTCAACTATAGCTTTTGCCAGCGGGTGTTCGCTGCTTGCCTAAAGAAAAAGAAACAGATAAAACGTTTAGTTTAAACCCCCTCTCCTTCTATCCTTAACAAACTGAAGAAACTAGAAACGAATTCCTGACCTCGGCAGAAGCCACGAGCGTAAGGAATTCTCCACGGTCCATATCGGAGAAAACTTTCGCAGTTGTAACAGTAGCTTTCCCTTGGGTTAGAGTGCCGGTTTTGTCAAATACCACATATTTCACCTTCTGAGCTCTTTCGAGTGCATCCGCACCTTTGATCAAGACACCGTTACTTGCCCCGACTCCTGTCGCGACCATAACAGCGGTCGGAGTTGCCAAACCGAGAGCACAAGGGCAAGCGATTACTACAACAGATATCGCAAACATAAGAGAGAAAACAAAGTAAGTCCCGTTTTCCGGCAGCCATTCTTCCGGGTAGGCTCCAACAGCTCCACCGATTAGCCTGCATAAGATTTTGTTCAAAAGAGATGAGAGCAGAGACGCTTCCGACATTATAGAAACTGCTATATAAAATCTCACCAGCCCAAAAGGGTGAATAATGCCAAAGTAATCACTATTGGGACAAAAATGCTGGCGACCTGCACCATGGAAAAATCCAGGATGAAGTATGTTCATGTTTATGAATATATCGAAAAAGGAACTAGCAAATTAAGATTGATATATGCTATATTCAGTACTTACATAATCCGCAAATTTCTGGATAGGAGCTTTCGACATTTGGGCTGTCTCGACCAAACTTATAATCTGGCTCAGAACGGTGTCAGACCCGACTTTTGTAGCTTCAATGTGAAGAACACCATGCAAATTGATAGTACCCCCAATCACTTGTGAATCAACCTCCTTTGATACCGGAACTGATTCTCCTGTCACCATGCTCTCATTTACGTAACTCGAACCCCATATCACAACCCCATCTGCTGGGATCTTTGTTCCCGGAAGAACTTTTAACGTGTCACCTGGCTGAATCAGCAAAGCATCTATCTCCCTTTCCCCTTCTACCTTCCCTCCTACAAATTACGCCAATCATGAAACTTGTCAGCAGCAAACTAACTGTTTTGTGTTTTTGTTTCTGTCTGATGATCAAAGATTTTTCCTTTTCAGCCTCATAGAAAAGTGTCAAAAGCCTTCAGATAAACTATATTACCACACGTCTATTTAAGACGAGAACAGAAAATTACAGGAGGAAATATACCTTTGCCTTTGACAAGCAAAATTGCCGTTGCTGGAGTAAGTTCTACGAGTTTCTTGATAGCATCTGATGTTTTTCCCTTTGCGAGAGCTTCCAAATACTTCCCCAACAGTACAAATGTTATCAGCATAGCGCTTGTTTCAAAGTATGTCGGAGACCAAAACCCGGTGACCGCTCCATATAGAAGAGCCGCAACAGAGTAGAAGTAAGAAGCTGATGTGCCCAGTGCCACCAGAACGTCCATGTTACTTGAACAATTTCGAAGAGCTCTTCCTGCTCCGATGTAGAATCTCTTTCCGACAACAAACTGAATAACACTTACCAATGCCCATTTCATCCAATCACCCATCAAGAAAGGTCCACACCTCCAGACCAGCAAGGAATCTAGAACAGCAATGTGCGGGCACACTACTTGGATGAAGAAAAGCGGAATCTGGATCGGGAAAAAATATCACACAATTGTTTCAATTAGCAGCAGTAGATCATCTTTGAAAACAGATGGAAATGGAATGAAGAAGTTACTCACACTGAGAGAAAGACTGGTGATGAAAAGCCGAAACATGTTTGCAGCTTCTCCGGTGTCTTTAGATGTCAACCTTTCATAAGGATTGATTACACGCAACTTGAATTTCCCGTTGCTTCCTCCTTCAATCCCATCCACTAAGGATCTTGAAGTGACAACCTCTGGATCGAACACCACTTCCAGTTCTCCTGATATCCGGTCAAGACGGAATTGTCTAACGCCGTTCAACCGAGCAAGTATGCCTTCCAGGATATGTGCATCAAACTCATTGAAGATGCCATCAACCCTTAAGACAATGTTGTCCTGCTGGCTGCTCTGCACAAGTGAAGCCTCGAAACCTGCATCCTCAATTGCATTAACTATATCGTCTTTGCTTATTACAGTCGGGTCATACTCGACTTCTCCTAACGAAGTAGCCAAGGCTACCACTGCCCTTTTGACACCAGGGAGATCTCTTAGAATGCCTTCAACCGAGTTAACACAGGCAGCGCATGTCATCCCTCCAATTGTAAACTGGCCAACCAAGGTAGCCTGCGCTTTTGTCCCCTTGCCCTTGGTCATAGGTTCCGACAGAATCTCTGCCTCAAATCCGGCATCTTCAATGGCTTCTTTAATGTCCTCTTCCTGAATTAAAGACATAATCAGTTACTTTCTGGATACAAACAAACAAAACCCGAGAGTTCCCTTTCTCAGAGATGACTATGGGTGTCGATCTAACTTCAGAAATGATCACAAATGCATCCTCTGATGTTAGAGCAAGGGCCAAGAGACAATCTATATCTTGTATATATTAAAAATGGCAACCCAAAGTTCGCAGACACTGATTAGTTAAGTAACTGATATCCGATTCCCACTATAAAGGTCTCAATCAAGCTATTACAGTTTGCAGAACAAAAACTTAAGATACCCACGAAGATCCTGCCTTTGTTGAGTCCTTCATACGGAAACAAACAAGGAAAGGATAAAAATTTACTCAGACAAAATCCACCCATGAAGATCTCACGAAGCACCTCAATCACTACAACAGAAAACCAGAAAGAACATGCCAAAAACCACCCGAAATCCCACGAATTTGTCCGAATCGAACAAGCAACAGGGGAAAGAATGGTTAACCTTGACCAAATCGGGATCGAAGACGACATCAGCCCTGTTCTGCAACAAGGCTACGGAGGCTTGCAGCACGCCATTAACGCTCCTCAGAGCTCCTTCCACGGAGTTCGAACAAGCAGCGCAAGTCATGCCCGTCACCCTCACCTGAATCCTTCTCACACCGCCGCTCCCACCGCCTTCCTCGATCCTACTCAAATCGGCGGCGTTTCCGTCATCGTACGCGTCGAGAAGCCGGACTTCCTCCATCGCCCCTATATCGGAATCTCTTCCGCCGATTGACGCCTCCGCCGCCATCGCCGGAGACGATACCGGGATCAACTGCACGTCCCGTCCACTCGGTGCCATGTCCTTAGCGAGTCCGACGAGAAGCAGACGGAGACGCGCCTACGACGAGGTCAAAGGTGGGGATTCTTCTGTAATGATGTGTATATATATGTGTGTGTGTATATATATGTAGAGAGATTGCTTCTATTCCTATATGTAACAGAGAAATGGAGGAATTCCCGGGGCATGAAGGAGAAAAGAGGAAAATAATCGAAAAGAGATTAAAAAAAGAAAAACGGAGATTTTCCGGGAGGGAAGGTGGAGACAGCAATTTGTCAACTAAAAAAATGCTGGGATGGAGTGACAGTTATACCCCTGAGTTATCTGGATATTACGTAAATGGACTTTGTACTTCCATTACGACCCGATACCCACACATCTTATCCGCTTTCGGGTTGCCTTCCTAAAAACCTATATTGATTTGAGTTAATGGTTTTTGTATTAATAAATCTATTTTTTTACTATGTATTTAAAAAATATTTTTATGAATTTGTTAATTAATGATGGACGATGGGATCTTATTAGTGGCTTTCACAACTAATGATATCTTAATTTTCTAAGAAAGGATGATTAATAATTAGAAAAAAAAAGCGAAGTCTCAAATCTCAATTAATGTCATGGACCTCTTTGTATTTTCACCAAAAAAAAAAGTTGATATGGAAATCCATAAGCTTTATAATTTTTTATTTTTTGAAATTCTAAATCGAGTTTTTAAAAAAAAAATATATAATGATATTGACCTATTGTTTTTAACAATTATCATTGATTAAAATAAACCTTTTCCCATACCATCTTTATATCTCTCTTTTTTCTAAAAATTTATATACAGTGATGTTTCCATTTATGTGAAATAAGAAAATTTATTAAAATGCCAAGCAATATATATATATATATATAATATACTAATAGTGCATCTTTTTGTTGGAAAGGTGACTTCCACTCCACTAATCAAAAGTCGAATTCCATAGCACTAAACTATAAAAAGAAAGAGAGAAAAAAACAGAGATTAGACTATTAAAAGTAATAAATAGAATGTTCTATTTGTATTTGAGCATTTTCGTTAGGAAAATAGTAAATTTGCTATTTATATCGGTCAAAAGCAGATGTTGTAACATTTCGTAAATATCATAAAATAATTATCCTAATGGACACAACTTCTTGTTTTTAGCAATTAAATCATTTCTGTAATTTTTCTGTAAGTATTAGTTTTCTTTACATAATGCAAATTTGCAACTGCATATAAAAGTAACTAAAATATTTATAAAAAAAAAAATTAAATTAGTCGTGTTTTCATAACCGAATACACAAAAATTGTATAATGTAGAACCGAATCTATTCATGCGTTGAAACAATATTTTAAAATGTGTAGCCAATAATTTTTCGATAGCTAATATTGGAACTTCTTTTTAACTTGCATGCTTTTGCTTTAAAAAAATGCCTTTTGTTTTTTTTTTTTTTTGCAAGTTTTCGATGTTTGGGGGAAAATAATTTGAAAAATATGGTTATGGTTATGGACTATTGTGCTTTTTTTATGAACCGAAATTTGTAATTCTCACGCAAGGCCGCTGTCGGGTCAAGGGTGCATGACCCACCAACTCCACTCATAATCATATCATGCCATTTTAATACCATTCCCATATTTTATTTATTATCATTTCGTAATTCATCTATTGAGTTTATTTTTAAAAAAATTACGTACCTAATTTTTTTGATTTGTTGGAAACTATGCTAAAATATCAAATACGAGTCGTATCAAAAGCAAGTACGACAAGGAAATGCCCAAAACGGTAATTTCACATTACAGACGAATTTTTTTCGTAACGCTCCCACTTTTAAAATGTATATTTTTTTTCCTAATTTTGCGTGATGATGTTGTTCTGCACGCAACTCACGAGCTGTAGTAAGTCAGACATGGACAGCGGACCAAACCAAACGGAACCGAAGTGGTTCGCCGAGGGTAGGGGTAGTTTCGTCATTTCGGATCGACTTTTGGTTTGGTTGAGCAGAAAGCACGGATTAGTTGATCTGATGAGAGTTGGTACGAACATCAATTTCTTGGTTGAAGTCCAATTCCGGTCAGATGTCCACATCACCACCACACCACCACCGTTTCTCCAGCCGTATCTTGATTAACAAATGTTACTAAGATTCACAGTCAAACCCTCCGAGTCAATCAGTGACTCTTGGTCGCTTTCTGATAATCTGGCAATTCTACAAGGCGGAGGGATTTCTTCTTGAAGAGGCGACTTCAAGAAAGCCAGCTAGGGAACAGCAAAGGAGAGTGTTCGTGTTTTATGTACGATGAAGTTACGTGGCGCGCAAGAAACCGGTTGGCCTTACTTGAATCTGGTCATTTTCCAACTCAAGAAACTGAACGTAACAAGAACTTCAATCCTCAGGATTGTTCAATTAACTACCGTTCATGTACAGTGCAGCATATATTGAATAAAGTTGCAGACTTTACCCAGAAAATTTTGAGCTTTAAGAATGACTGATGCTGCCCTTTTCAGTGTTTTTATAAAGGGTATCAAGTTCTTACAAAGCTTAACAGTCTTCTGACCGCTTCGTTTCTTCCTCCTCCATTCAGTTCTTTCTCCTCCCCTAAATCTCTTCCCTCTTATTTCTGTTTCCTGTTCATCAGTATATCCATACCAGAGCCCGAGACTGTTTGATCATCTTCTGAAGAGCTCTCTGATGAATCTTCAAGCACACAGATTCTGTGCAAATCACCCACTTTTTCTAACTCATGCTCCACCTGCAACAAACTCTTCTCACTTTCTCAGTATTTCATTTTCTTTCATCTCTTACCGAAACGTTTTTTTTTTTGGGGAAACAGGCAAAGATTGAAATGAGACCTTGCAAGAAAGAGAGCAGAACATGAAAGCCTTGGATATGAATTTCTTGCACTCTTTTATGGACATCTCTGTGTGCTTCGGTTTCAGCGGTATCTTTTTTTCATCATAAGCAGAAAAACGAGTCTGCGATCCCAAAAGTCTCGTATGATCAGAACCCTTGTTTCTGTTTAAGCTGGAAGTAAGAAGAAGAAGAAGAGAGATGATGATATGTGTATTACTTGAATATCAGAACAGTCCATGAGCTTGGAGATCTCCTCCAGTCCGACCATGCCATCTTCGATCCCCTGTGAAACATTTCGGTTATATCTTAATTTTGATGGAATTTGAAAAAGAGAGAAGGATGATGCAGAAGGGTATAAGAACATGGCAACTGCAATGAGTTTGTTACATTTGATGTAAAAGTTATATATGAAGAAACATGTGAAGAAGAGTAACAAGTCCCAAATGAAATGTGGCAAACAAAAGTTGGATCCCAAGATTCAGAAGGAAAACACAAACACAATCCATGAAAATGCAGAACATAAAGCTCAGAACTTTCTTCAAAACTACTCAAAGAAGCGGTAAAAGACAGCAAAATAACAACTTACAGATTACGGTACAGACTCACGTTCAAAGCCACAAGCAATTTTCTCATACAAGGCGGAGAACAAGGAACTTCGGAGAAAAGACCATAAGAGAACATGAAACAAGGGTTTTCGAATGACTTGGTGGGCAAGAAACAGATGGAACGTACCTGAATACGAGGGTGAGGATAGTGAGGATCGACGCAATCGTGACAGAAGGCGGTGCGGCAAATGAAGCAGAAGAAGTTTCTCCGATTGTTCTGATGGATTCTGCATTTTCCATGAAAGCTTTCGTTCATCAAAGCTACGTACCATTTGGGTCTTGGTACTCTCACAGTCTCTTCGCTCTCCTCTTCATCATTGCCAATCACTTTCCCTTTCCCTTTAGTTGAAGAATCCATGGATGGCTTGTTCGAGAAAGAAGAGACGGCTCGATTCTGTATCTGGTTTTCCCTCGGTTTTGCGAGCTTGGAGAAGTTCAAGAACATATAGGGAAAGAAGAAAAGGTTTTTAGAAGTAACTGAATGTCAGTGTCTCTGGCTCTGTTCTTGGATCTTGATATTATTTATATTTGTTTGATGAAACGATTTAATATTAAGGACTTTCTCAAATGGGTACTAAATTATGCAAGAACTTTGGTTTGAAAATGTAGATAACTACAAAAGGGATCCTCACCGTCCACGAGTGACTGACACGAATCGGACGGTAGACATACGGAAACTAGATACACGTCGCCTCATCAGATAAAAACGCCTCCTTTGAAACCTAAAACCCTGTAAAACCTAAGATCTCCAAAAGATATCATAGATCATCTACGGCCAATCTCCACCGTCGCTTTCCGCCACCGGCAGATTCCGGCAGGTTTGTCTTCCCTCTTTCTATTCCTTTCTCTCGTCTCCCTATGTGCGGTGTCTCTTTGGGTTTAAAGTTCCAAGCTTTTCGAGTTTTTGCTGAATCTGGGAAATGGGTATGAATCTGGGGAGGAATTTGGAGAACTGATATGGTATTGTTAGGTCGATTAGAGTTCATACAGGAACTCGAAAGACTGGTTATTTCTATGGTTATGATGAAACTGAAAGTTTTCTTCGCAAGTGTATTTTGACACAGCGTACAATGGATCAAGTTGCAAACTTTTTTTTTCCGGAATAACTCTCTCTCTCTGTTTTTTTTTTTGTAATCGGAACTTCGAATTGCATGACATAGTGTCCTTATACCTTTCGTTGTTGCTGTTGTGTGTTTAGGTCATTGGCTTGCTGAAACAGATACTATATCCCGCTTGCGAGTAGGAGATGACATATCTGTGATAAACTCGGTACTTGGTTTCAGGAATAGGGTAATAGGCTAAGTTGGATATCTAAAGATGAGCTTGGTTTTGAGATTAAGGCAACATTTATCAATTGGGTTTTATCAGAAATCCTATACACCTGGAGCTATATACTTCAATTCGTTAGTTGGGGGTTCGCGGAAATACAGTCAACCGGCAAGGAAAGATGAGGAGGAAGAGGAAGAAATCGACCCAAGGAGACTCCCAACCGATTATGATCCAGCAACTTTTGATCCAACAGAGCACCGTAGTCCTCCCACAGAGCGTGTGTTCAGACTCGTAGACGAGGTTTCATCCCTCACGCTGTCTGAAATCGCAGAACTTGGTACAATTATAATGAAGAAAAAGGGTATGACAGAGCCACCTACTGTCGGTGTCATGAAGCCAGGGGCAGCTGCTGGGATGGCAGGCATGGTTGCCAAGGGCCAAGCTGGTGGAGGAGCTGCCAAGGAGGAGAAAAAGGCAGAGAAGACCGTGTTTGAGATTAAATTGGAATCATATGAGGCATCTGCTAAAATCAAGATTATCAAGGAGGTTAGGAGTTTCACTGATTTGGGTCTTAAGGAAGCCAAGGATTTGGTGGAAAAGACTCCGTCGATTTTGAAGAAGGGAGTGTCTAAAGAAGAAGGTGAGCAGATTATCGAGAAGATGAAAGCCCTTGGTGCCAAAGTTGTTCTGGAGTGAAGGAAACACAGGTAGTCATTTGTTTCTTCTTTGGCATGTTTGCAGACTATTTGTCTTTCCGGGACATAGTATTTAGGCCATTGTAGTACCAAGTTTCCGGGTTTGGGTTGGTTTTACTCTTCAGCATTATGGTTTCTGAGCTTCTTTTGGCTGAGTCCTGGTCGAGGAATTGAAAATAGTTTTCTCGATAGATAATCAATGGCGGGACAATGGAACAATGGTTATCTCTTTTTCTTTACAGTGTTGTCTCCAACCTTGGATTAGACTCTGAACAAAAAGAGGGAATGTTGTTGAATACCTGCTTTGACATGAAAGTTTGCCTCTATGATTCTATCCATGCAGATTCATTCCATTTCTCGTCGTTATCTTTTACAGTTATACTGTTACTGTGATTCAGTTTGTGTATCTTTGGGTTTGTTTTGCAAGAACAAGATTTGGCCTCTTGCTATGATTAGGAGCTTTAAGTTCCGCAAAAAGCTTTTGCTTTGATAAAAAAAAAAAGCCCTCATGGTGCTCTCTGTTCATGGATTTACATGGCGATGGAACTGTATGTGAAGTGTTAACTGAAGGAACCTCCATTTACTATGATCATCTCTATTCTACCATGCCCTCGTTACAGATATTTTCTTGTACCGTAGAAAAGCTTTATGAAGGGTCATGTGTTTTCTTGTACCGTAGAAAAGCTTTATGAAGGGTCATGTGTGTCGGGACTGATGATGCTTCAAGGCATTGCTGTCTGGCTGAAGATCTCTGAGACTCGTCTGTCCCTGAGATTGTAAGAGAAAACCCGTAAAAGGCGCGAGAGCGAGATTAGACAATGCAACAGTTCTTGCTCAAGTCGTTTACCGTTTCTTGCAGACCGTCATCAATGTTAAAACATGAAGTCATAGCTTGCGGTCTGAAACTCGACTGTTCCTGCTAAGAATCACCATTAACAAGTTGTTATATAATGTCATAGATACTACAAATATTATCTCAACACATGAGAAAAAGGGCGAGAGAACTTAGAGAACGGACAGCTCGATAAAGCCTCTTCCGAGTTATGGAATGAACACTAGGGACTGATGCAAGAGAATTTGGATGAGCCTGCAATGGACAATAGAAAGCAGAATCTTGGATCATATTATGAAAATTCCATGGAAAATCCAAACGAAGATCCATAAGCAAAAAAATATCAGTACCAGTGATTGTATGTTACTTTGGTCTGCACAATAACCATCACGGTTCGAGGTTATGGAATCGCTTTCTACCTGAAGCACAAAAGAATAACGAGAAACATAAGGAACGTTACAACTGTAAGGAATTCATAACTGGTAAAAAAAAGCTAGTGTACCATTCCGTGTGAGAGTTTTTGGGCACCGAGGTAGTCATCGACAACAATGGAGGGACGACTCCTAAGTTCCTGACACAATCAACCAAAAAACGTCCGAATAGACTTTGAACTTCATGAAAAAGAAAGCACATATGGTTGGGTTTCTGGCAGTATATTGCTTCATCGGTACGAGAAAAGAGTAAAATCTCATGGCCTACCGTCGTTCTCCACACTTCTTGCTTGCCAATGCTTAGAACTTCATGCAGTGAATGTACCTGAAAAAAAAAAAACCCTCAGAAAAAAGACAGGAGTCAGTGACTTTGTTATGCTCCATCAAGAGAAGGGGGACCTGTCGAGATTCAGCTGTGCTGTTCTTGTTTGCATCAAATGCGTTGCTCTGTGTGATTTCTTCATATCGGGGAGGATCTTGAGCTGCAAGTGAGGTTGACTCTGCTTCATTTCCGATTGAGCTATTCATATTCTCAAACTTCCGAAAAGCTTCATCCAGCATGTTAGTTACCATAATATAACTCTCTTCGGATAGAGATGCCTCCTCGCTCAATTTGAAAGCACGATGACAAAGATCCCTGTATCGTTGAGCCCTGGATGGAGCTACTTCATACTGTGCTTCTACAACTTCTCTCTTTTTTGCATCCTTTGTCCAACGTTTCAGTACATACCGAGAAGGTATACTAAGTATGCCAGACATTTGCAGAACAATCATGGCATGCCTGCAAAGGAAGCCATTTAATTCAAACAGTAGGCATGAACAAGAAACTTCTGATGATTCACTGTTCCACACCACAACATAAGCACGTTTTTGTTCATAATCTTGAACCCTGAAAATTCTTTTGGCTCCATCTTCGCTTTCCTTTTTAGGATGACAAGCAACTCCTCCCAATACCTCAACTTGGAATTTCTTGAGCATCGCATGTGTGTATACTCCAGCCATTTGCTTCCCGAATGGCGATGGAGACTTCAACCCAGGTTGTTTGTGCAATGTTTCCATATCTGATTTTGCTTCCTCTTCACATCGTCCTTGCATAATGGCCTTGTACTGATCCAGAAACGCTTTCAGTGTAGTTTTCCTTTGAATGTATTTGTCGAAATGGGAATTTACAGAATCTGATCGCTGGCCTGTAGACATCCCTACTAGAGAAACATCCTTCATGTATCTAGGAACCCAGTGTTCCCGATTCTCATACAACGACTGGAGCCAAGAATTATCTCTCAGATTATACTTATCAACCACCTCCCACCATCTCTTTTCAAATTCTTCACTCGTGCTAGCGTCATAGATAGAATCATTAATCTCATCCACAAATCTTTTCTCTTGCCTCATGACATGACCAAGCTTCTCGGGCATCTGACCTAGAGTACTCCACATGTAAAAACAATGTCGAGAAGAGGAGAAAACCTCTGAAACAGCTTCTTTTAGCATGTTGTTTTGGCTGGTAAGTATAACTCTTGGTTGGCGTCCTCCCATCGCTTTTAGCCATGCCCGGAAGAGCCAGATAAATTCAGATTCAGTATCATCTGCTAATAATCCACAACCAAGCAATAAAAACTGACCATGGTGGTTCACACCTATAAAAGGGACAAGTGGCAGCTTATACTGGTTTTTGATATACATAGTGTCGATAGACACAACATCGCTGAAGCTATCACAATCTAACCTGCCTTTTGCATCAACCCAAAAGGCATTTCTTACAGTTTGCTCACCGCTTATGTCCATGGCATAGAAAAAGAAAGGATTCTCTTCTTGCATGTCTGTAAAAAAGTTCAGGAGTCTTTCAACACCACCGTCCTCTAAAGCTAACTGTTGCCTGCTATTTATCTCTTTCGCAATTGCACCATATTGTTTCTCAAGTTTCTTGTCACTACCTGATTCTCTCAACATGGAGTTTGACATCTTTTTCATCCTTGCTCTGCTACTATCTGAAAAACCACGACCTTTGGTGCTATGGGTTTGACCAGGAAAGGTTTCATGGTTGTGTTCTTTTATCAGAGTACGAACAACCCATCGCCCATCTTGCCTTCTCTTGACATGCAAGCATGCCTTACAATCAGTTTTCAAAGAAGAACGGTTCATCCTTCCACGTCTATGTGTTTGAGGAATGTTAAAGCCTTCTGTATTTGAAGCAGTACCTCTGGTTTCCTCTGAACTTGCAGCTTTTTTGCTTCCATAACTTGTACAGACAAACTTTGCATCGATAAACTTCCCTGTCATTCTTGAACGACGACTAGCTTTTATAATTGTCGTAAATCCCACAGACATAGCGTACTCTTTGTAGATAGCGAATGCTTCCTCTTTGGACTCGAATTCTATCCCTTCGTGGAGCTCTAAATTGTTTACCGAGTTTAAGTTTATCCCATCTCCATGTCGTCGTTGGTGTCTGTTATCACCCAAATGCACATTATGGTATTCTCCTGATGGCATTTCAAGATCGATCCCCATCAAGTTTTTTATTCCTTTAAATGAACCCTTTGATCAAAGCTAACCTGTTAAGGCACCAGAGAAGAACAAACTATTAGAAAAATTTATAACCGAACAGTAGTTTACAACCAAAAGCATCATTCTTAACCAAAGGAACCTTCATGGACAACAATTGCGAAGTAAAGTATATCACAAAGATCATGGCCATACATGGTGAGAAAGAATTAAGACTAGAGATGCGGAAGTGTTGTACGAAGTAGCACCACTTTTTTTGTTCACGCTCTTCAGCTGCATAGATCCCCATACGTGATAGGGTTCCATCTGAAACCATATCCATCACAAGCTAATTGATATCCATATTTCAGTCCTTTTCACTAGGAAGGCTCTCTTTCCAAATTGTTCCAGCTCCAGAGCAATAGTTGAGCAGACATGAAATTTCATCACTTAAAACTATAATGTTATCTTCTATATGCCTAAAGATTTCCATTTTCAAGTGTGCAATAAGATACCAACGCACCCTTTACATTCAGTGACATGCATCACTTTACAGTAACGTTTACTCGTAAAATTGAACTATCAAAAGAACTTTTAGCAAGTCCCAATAGCAAGATGCATAAGACATGATCCAGATGTAACTAAAAGAACACTGGATATCTAAGGAATTGGCAATGAACTTACAAATAACTCAGCCTGCATCAGATAACATATATCAGAATCGAATAAAGAACATTCTTTTACTTGAAAAACAACCAGACAACCCTCATTTCAACGCATACTATCATCTTGCACAAGTCATTAAAGGGGAAACAAAGCAAAACAATCAAGCTGACGGCCTTCCTGACTGACTTTCTGTACATAGAAAAAGCCAATGAAGGATAAACTAATCCGCCATCTCTTAAGTTCAGTGATTCAGTGGTCGTCTCCGAGACTGCAACTTGGTTCCACAATGATCATAGACAAAGGAACCCAAATAAAATCAGAACGCCAAAACCCTAAAACCCAGCAAAAATCCACCAGATGTTGAGCAGTTTCATCAAATGGAGACAAGTCCAAAAGTTCAAAATGCAAAAGCCGGAAACTTTCAAAATTCAAATTAGATAATCTGATCCAGAGGTTTAGCAGACTGAAACAAAGCAAACAAAATCATAATCGAAACAAACTCAGAACTAAAATTAACCAGCTCAACCAAAGAAGAACAATCATTACAGTAGTATCTTCACTACACTGCGAAAGAGCGAAAAAGACTAAATCCCAATCCAAGATTAAGAAAGAGCAGACCAAATAACAAAATTTCTGATGAAGGGAAAGGCACGTTACATGCTTTGAGAGAGAGACGGGGAGGGGGGGTCTTGGAGCGAGTACACAAGCCTTTTTCATTACACCGCAGTTTGATCGCCAGGGAAGAGAGATCACCACCGTACTCGCGTTTTCTGTACTCGCGGTTATCCCTTGGGGGGTATTATTTTCTTATATTTAAGTAGGGGTTAAATTTATAAAACTAATAAAAATGTGGGCCTTGCGTTTCACTTTCACATTCATCCCAAATCATCTTTTGTGAGCCTCTCGTCCTTACTCTTATTTGCAGATGGAAAGGCTGGAACTTTACACCTCGGAAATGGCTGATTCCCTTGGCGAAATCTGATTTCTTTTGTCAGGTTCTCATGTTTTATAGACTTCCGAATGATTTATGTTACTTCTCGTAGTTACTTGCTTTTTCCGAAATGCATATGAACACGTAAAATATGAGAAGAACAAATCAAGTTTTCTCTTTGATGGAAGGAAGAAATCAAGTTGTTTTCTGGGTATTGAATTTCCTGATAAAGTTCACTCCGATGAAAGATCAGTTTAATAGTTTGTCTCCTAGGAAATTCCAAATCTTTGTGAAGTTAGTTTATTTCTGGTGAATTTGCCAGTTTCTTCATACACTAATTAGAAGAAATGCCATCTTTAAACAGTTTTTGTTCATTGCTGTCCCTGTTGATTGCATAAAGTAGCGTTTGTTTTCTCATTATGGAAATGCGAATTCTTGCGTACAGTAGCTTGAGAGCTTCACCCTTGCATTTTGCATTTTGGTTTGGCATTCTTTATGAATCTGACAATATATCCATTAACTGTTTAATTTTTGATCCAGAAGTAAACCTTTGCTATATATCCATCATTCACACAGGCGAAGTCCGGTTCAATTCGGTTTTCATGTCTTTTTTACTGGTTAGATGGTGATCGTTGAATAAGAGAGACTGATGAATATGGGCTCGGCGGTTTATGCTGGTAGTTCTTCTGTTGTATCTATGGAGTTAAGATGGGTGAGAAGAAGCAATGGTGGCAGTGATGATACAAGCAGAAACCCAGGAAATTTCAAGGAGTTGAATGCTGCCTCGACACTGCCTATTTATATATCCACTACAAAAAAGGATGTAAATCTGCAGGAATTGAGAGATCTGTATTTGCATTGCAACCACTCGTGCAACCGGTTACCAAATGGGAGCATCAAAGAGATCATGGACATGAAAAAGCTGTGCACTGCTATCTCCCACAGTGCAGTTGTTGTCTCTGTTTTCTGCAAATCCCATCTTATTGATGTCAGCCTGTCCTCATCTTTGTCTCCATCAGACATCGGGAAAGGAAACAAAGTTGTCAGCCCTCTGAGAGGTGTATTTCGGGATGTGTTGCCAGTCACCCCTTCCAATGGTCAGCTTGTTGGGTTTGGTCGTGCTGTTTCTGATTGTGAATTGACCGCTTCCATCTACGATGTCATGGTACCTTATTTCACTATAGCATGACCTCTGCATAACATGTTGTTTGATGGAATGTGCTTCATATCTTCAATTTTTCTGATATGTCCTTGAGTTCCAACGTGAACCTTTATTGCTGCTTAAGATTGGTTAACACGTGTTTTTTTAATATAATCTTGTTTCAGTGTTTTCCAGGTTATTCCTTCACTTCAGAGGATGGGAATTGGTAAAATTATTATTAGAAGAATTATCAGGTGAGATGGTATTCTCCTGTATGATCTGCTTATTTTATCCTTAAACCTTCAACTTTCTCCTCAAAGATTCTGTGCCTTTAGAGTAGAGGTTGATACTTTTTGTTTTTATGCTCACATTTCTGTTATTGTTTCAATAGACTTCTCACAAGCAGAGACATCTATGACATAGCGGCTCTTTGCTCAGAGCGTGAAAGGTACCAACTTTGGGTCTTTTACAATACTCAACCTTAATTTTGTCGAAAGCCTTCTTTTCCGCACTGTCCTGTCTAGCTTTTCAGGATGTATATGATCACGGTTGCTCTGTGAGTATCTTGGAAATGGGACAGTTTGAGATTAGTATGTGAAATATCAAAATACAATTGTAAGTTGACAAAACTGGAAAAGAACAGGTTACAATTATACCAAAACATGCTGATTGATTAGGATATCTGGGATTTTTTGGGAGATATCGCAACTCTGATCACTATATGTATATGCAAAGACCTGATATTTACTTATCAAGAAACATCTGTTAGGTTGTTCTTCAACGCTTGCGGATTCGGAGAGGACATGTTGGGATCCACGACAATGATGTACAGAAAGAGTTTGGAGCAAATCACCGATGCAGAAAAGTCAATTGAATCTTCAAGGATCACAGATTAAGCAAGCTGAATAACGGCAACTCATGACTTGTTTCTGATGATTAGTTCTTACATAGGATGTGAGGCAAGTCACTCTAGTTCTCTTCTTCCTGATGTATGCCAAGCCCCAAACCTTTGCTTATGTCCTGGACCATTAGCAAGAATCCTTTCTAACTTGCTTATTACATAAACTGTTGTTCTGAATCAGAATTGTATTAACTTGTTTTATACATAAATCATAAATGTATGTTTGCATAGCTCGTTCTGAATCAGAAATGTCATGTTTCATAGATGGTCAACGAGACACAAGGGATAACTCGGTCACTCAAAAGCAATGGTCCATATGCATATACACAATTGTTGTTGTGGGCTCTGCATGCACTGGTATAAGGATATATTATGCTTGAAACGAAATCAATACTAATTTTTGTCACTCGTCCCTCCGAACAATTTGATTAACCGGAACCGACAAATTAGCCTGATGGGTCCAGTTTACATACGGGTGAAAATCCACATTAACCGGTGCAATCCACATTCACCGGATTATCTAAATGGCTAAGTTCATTTTCTTACAGAAGCTTTACTCAAAGATAACGAAAAGTCCTAAATGCTCTTCTCATACATATATTGCTACTCACCCCATTTGCATCATTTGTAATTTTGTACCTACAAAATTTCCATCCCAGAAATTTGCCTGTCTCATGAAGCAATGCCCATCATTTCAACAAAGTCGATCTCGAGCTTCAACTTTCATTTGCTTGTTTGTCAGGCACTGTCCCCTCAGATGAAGTTTCTTCATTTGTTTTCCATTCTTCTTGTTCGTCCATGTTTAGCCGTTCAGTCTTGTTCAACTCATCCTCGGAACCTTGCTCCTTTTGCTTCTCTAATGAAAGTTCATCGGAATGTAACGGTTGTTGCTCAGGTTCACTTTTCTCGCCTGCTTCTGGTTCCGAAGGTATAACATGGTTGGTAGATTCTGGAATTGAGCTTTTGATAACTGGTGAGCTTGAGCTTGTCATGCCTTGATAACCGCTTTGCGAATTGTGGCTGCTTCTGGCAATATCTGTAGGCATCTGAACCGATGTGTGTGATCTTCTATGTTTCGTTTTCTTCCGTAGGATGAGTCTCGGATCCTTGGGGGTGGAGGGAGGCGGTTCTGGTATCACAAATGGTGGAATGGTGGTAGAATCTTCACCGTATAGGACTCGGACTGATTGAGCAATGGCCGACACTGATAGAGGCAGACTGGGGTCTGGTGACTTCAGAGGGGCACTTACAGCATCCCTTAACCAATGAGGCAGCTTATTCTCAGAAGAACTACTTCCGACCACGTCTTTCCCCTTCATCAAATTGGAGAGATTCAACACTCGGCTCGGGTCGGGAAGAAACCCTAGGTTGGTGGGATTCACAGGAAACATTTGGCTGCCCGGATCAGGCATCGGAAGCAATGGTCTGTCTAGAAAACATGGCAGTTTTCCACGTTTAACGGCAACTCGTTCTTCTTCTGTTCTTTGTGCCCTAAAAGAGCCTAGAGAACCTAGTTTCCCCATCCCGATAGAGTTGAATGGAAAGACCTTCTCGTCAGGAATATTTACGGATGGTCCTGGTCTTTCAGATGGTCCGGCAAGATTCCCGGCGTGCATATTCATCGTGAGAGGAAAAGGCTCACCTCGCAATCCTAATTGTTCTGATGATGGCTCATATAGGGGAAGGCTGGAAGCAAGATTACTGAATCCAAGATTCATGTCAGTCAAGTGGGGTTGGAACCTTGAAGGATTAACATACTTTGCTCCATGTAAAGCCTGAGACATCATACTGTCAGGAATACCCGGAAACAAGGAAGATCTGGTAGTAGAATTTGCCAGCTTGCTCGATTTTGATGGCAGAGAAGGGATGTTATCTAAAAACTTGCGTTGCTCTTCTTCCCACCTCGCTGATAGGTATTCGGGTGTTTTAAATTTTGAGAATTTCAACCTCGGGTCTCGGAGCATAATCTCCCAGTTTCCAAACCCATGTCTGCGTATCCCGATCCAGAGAGAATCTAGTTCATCCTCAGACCATGGATCTATTCTTGGTTTCTTCTGGTGAAAGTGGCCAACTGCAGAACCTGTTCTCAACATTATATTCTCCAGAACTTTACGATGGTTATCCGGGATAGAAGACAATAATGTAGGCAACTGATCCAAACCCATAGAAGGGAATTCTTTCTCTTTCTGGTTGAATACTGGTGGATCCAGAGGGATTTTCAAATTGGGTAGGAATGGCATTGGTGGTATGGCCAACATGTCTTGCATTGAATTTCCAATACCTTCAAATCTATTTCCCAATGAAAGATTGGGTAAGAACTCTTGATGCGAAGTTCCCATGGCTCTGGGCACAGGCGGAAAGGGGAACTGAGGCAGTTGCTTATCTTCAAATGGTCGGTTAGGCAGCGGAAACTTCTCAGCAAAATCAGCACCAGAACTTTGTGGATGATCAGAATCCCCTGGCAGAGGAAATGGATGGAACTGCAAGGAAAATAAAATGTTTAACCATTGGTCCAAGGAATGTATATTTCCATGAAAGTGTAAGGAATTGCATGAAATGGAGAGAGAGGATACCGAACGAAGTGGAAGCCGACCATCCAGATTATTGTTTCTTATCGGCTGCTGAGGAGCTTCCTCTTGCACATCTTGTGGTAATTGACCCAAGGTGGCTTCCTGCTCATTAGCTTCTCTTTCCACAGAGAGTGACCGTCCTGAGGTGGGGGGCAAACTGAAAGGAAAATCAGGTCCTCTTACTGCCCTGTTCTGTCTACCACTTGAACGTGAATTAATTCTCCGCGAGAATTTTGGCTGACTAAAATTAGGAGCACATAGTCCAAGAACTAGAAAATTGTTGGATGGATCGTGATAATCTGGAGTAGGATCTGAAGAGTTGTAAATTTTGAGATTGGTCGGTTTGCCTAAAGTTGGGGTTGAGTCACTTTTGCCGTTTAATGCATCAGATTGAATTGTAGCATCACTATCCTCCAAGTCAATCATGTGATGATTTTCTTGGACTTGTTTAGCTGCTTCAGGTTGTAACTCCGGTTCCTGAAATGTTCTGTCAGGACGAGACTCTTCAACCGCATGTCTTTCAGCGAGCCGCTTCTTTTGCCTTGCTCGCAGCTTAGCACTAATTTGCAAAAACAAAGATACCCATATCAAGATCTCGGAAGGAGGTTCATTTTACTGGCAATTGAATATAACCAATCCGATGCTTGAAACAACTACTTCAGCTCAAAACATAATAATACATACAACTCATGCAAGAAGCAAGATACAATAAACCATAGGCAATAATAAATCATAGGAAAAAGGAACATTTGTCAGATAAATGCGAAATGAACAAACAACTATCACGTTCTATATAGTTAATCATTTGCATCAGTACCAGTGCCACTGTTAGTAGACTCAGCAGTGGTAAGCCATATTTATTCAGTTAATTACTTTTCTATAGCAAGCATATTCAGGACAATAATAGCCCGAGCTGAAAAAACTTACAACTTTTCTTTCAGAGCTAATCCTGCAGATGTGTATTCCTTCTTGGGTTCTGGCTCTGGTTCGTTCTCTTCTTCACTGCCACTCTGCAAAAGTTATAAGACAAGTAGTAATAACAACAAGACGGTATTTACTATTTATAGCCAGAAACAAGATGCTTCCAGTCTTCCAGGAGTAGGGAAAACAGTTACCTCAGTTAATGCTTCAACAGCATGTGGGGCATAAGCTTCTCTATAAGAAACAGCCTTTCTCAGGCGCTTCCCTCTGCCAAGTGCTGCATCTTCCTCGCTTTGATACTTCTCCCACCTACACATACAGTTGCGAGAAGAAAAAAACCCATCAAACAATAAGTGAAAGCAAGGAGTACCATTTGGGTCCCAAGCATTTGTCTCTGAAGTTTAAAAAAGATAAACATTTAATTTTCCACTGGCATGCAAGGAACTGCGAAGAAAACATAACTGATGATGTATTATCAGAATGTTAATGACCCCAGAGAGACCTCCCAGTCAAGAGATGCATTTATAAAGCACTCTCACCTTACACGCAAAAGCCTGTCCCATTCATTTTCTTCAGTAACATTCACTGTATCATCTTCTTTCCTCTCCGACATCTGTGCATCAGTGTCATCAGTCACCAGTGCAAGTGATTCAGCCCGGCCTTGTTCTTCAGTTGCTTCTTCATTCCACTCCATGGGCTGCTTAAAAAGAAAGAGATACATAAATAATAATGACAAAATCAATTGCTTTATATTGGGAGAAAGAAAATAACTATGAAAAGGATCCTAGTATTACTATCCTTCTCTCAATGATAAAGCGACCACAAACAATCTTCAGGTCATATGACTATTTGAAAACCGTAATTCTGCAAACAATTTGAGAAGCAAGCATGTCCAGTTCTGCCTGTTTATCTGATGCAATTTATGACAATATTCCTTATTTAATCAGGTGAAATTGCTACCTATTATTTCCAAAAGCAGGACCTGCATTTTTTGCTCAACAATAACTCGTATTGCTCAACAATAACTCGTATCAGTATATTAACCTATAGCTCTGCAGACAAGTATATTTGCTCAAGTGCTATCCAATAAGCAAGACTAAATATATATGGACATGACACCTCACCTTTACCGAGCCAAGCATATCATTCTCTAAATCTGTATCAGCGCCATCACTGGAACCTGGTTGAAGGTTTGACCGGTCAAGCAACTTCATAATTGCAGTTTCATCCCACACGATCTTCCCAGTACTATCTGTACATTTATCCTGGTAAACATCTCCCAAACCACCACCCTTTTTCCGGTTCTTGCATTCTAAATCTATAATGATGTCCACTTCGCCATTACTTCCACATGCATCTTTCTTATTCTCACTCGGAGAATCGTTGAAAAGTTCCTCAGTCCCCCAGCGTAGAATATCTACAACTTCCTTTTGTGATCCAGACTTGTTTACAAAAAGCTGATCCAGCATCTTCTTTTTCTTTGCCAATTGTAGAATGCGCTCTTCCACACTGGCACGCACAACAAGCCTATAAACCAAAAGGCGTTTTGATTGCCCAATTCGATGAGCTCTATTCATAGCTTGGATATCAGCATGAGGGTTGAAATCAGAATCATAGATAATGACAGTGTCAGCTGACGCCAAATTGATTCCAAGACCACAGGAACGTGTGGATAACAGAAAGACAAACCGACTTTTGTCTTGGTTAAAACGAGCTATGGCAGTTTGGCGATCAGCCACAGAAACAGAACCATCCACTCTTTCATATGTTTTAGGACCGAACTCTACATTCAGGTAATCTTCCAGGATGTCCAGAAGTTTTGTCATCTGTGAGAATATAAGAACTCTATGCCCTTCCTTCCATAGCACCTTAAGCATGGAATGCAATAGGGTCAACTTAGCTGAAGCTTTTATCCTCATCTCATGAAGAAACTCCATTGATCCAGATTCCAGCTCAGTGCCTGGTATAAGATATGGGTGATTGCACACCTTTCTCAACTGCATCACAATGTTAAGCATCGATTGCTGTGCCACCCCCTTTCCAATATTTCTCAGTACCTGATAGTTCTTAGTTAGCATTGCACGATAATATTCAGCTTGGATTGAAGTCAACTCAACTGGCACAATCCTCTCTGTCTTAGGTGGAATATTTTGCATGGCATCTTTTTTAAGCCGCCGAAGCATATGGAGAGCAACAAGTTTCTTCAGCTCCTCTACTTTCTGAGCAGGTGTCAGATCATGGAATCTTTCTTCAAAAGAAGATAAAGAAGGAAATGATGATGGTTGCAAGAAATTGAGAAGATTATACATCTCACCTATGTTATTCTGAAGAGGGGTGCCTGTCAAAAGCACACGGTGCTGGAAAGAGAATGTATTGAGCAGGCTAAACAGCTTACTTTCTGAATTCTTTAGACGATGCCCTTCATCAACAAGAAGAACTTCCCATGGAACTCCACGTAAATGAGATGAATCAGCTAGAACCATTTCATAAGTAGTTAAAAGAACATCAAATTTGTTGGAACTTGTTCTCTTGTTTGCCTTAGAATCCTTGGCATGCCACTCGTATTCACGAATGACAGATCTTGCTTTTGCCCCTCCATGATACTCCACAACATTTAGGAGCGGGGCCCAAAGAGAAAACTCGGCAAGCCAGTTTGGCATTGTTGATAGTGGAACCAAAACTAAACAAGGCCTTGCAATGTTAAATTCAAAATAAAGTGATGAAAGAAATGCACACGCAGAGACAGTTTTCCCGAGCCCCATTTCATCAGCAAGGATCACATTTTTCGATTTATACCAGCATCTACGCAACCAATTCAGGGCCTCAAGTTGATGGGGAAACAAAGAACCTCCATTGAGCTCTGAAGGTTGTTCTGTAAGGGTAACAATTTCGCTTTGCTGATCGTCATCTTTATCTTTTGCTGACTTAGCCTTGGCAACATCCTTTTCTAATGCTTTATGCTCAAACTTCTCAAAAATATCTATTAAATGAGATGACTTCTCAAGAACAGGCTCTTCCAAGCTTTCCCACGTGCATTCATCATAAGCAAGTCCTGTCCATTTTACATAAGCCTCATGTTTACCTTCTTCTGAAACATGCAGACCGATTACCCGTTGAGGCTGTTTCCACCTGTCCTCGCAGATATTTATAACAGCCGTTCCATATTTTGCTTTGTAATTCTCTAGCTTTCTTTTAGCAAGAGCTTTCAGGTCAGATTCAGAAATCCAACTGTTATGAATATGAGATTTTCCCACCCATTTAACCAGAAACTCATATGATACAGTTTCTCCACTATGACATGAAGTTTTACCAGTAATAGGCTCCTCAACTTTTTCTTTAGATACCGTACTGCCTCCTCCAATGTCCCGATGTGCTTCTTCAAGTACTTCTCTATCACCAGAGACAGGTGTTTCACTAACTTTTGTTTCTTCATTCTCCTCATGTGTACTCAGAGTAACATCAGCATTGTCCTCTGAAAGCATCATTTCTTTTAGTTTCCCCTTCCCCAAATTGGCAGAAACTACAGCAGATTCATCCATATCATTATCCTCCGTATGCGAATCTTTGTTATCTTCCTTCACCAGATCCACCCAATTACTTATTTTACATTCTTTGGCCATATTATTCTCATCTGTGCAATCAGAATTTCTTGTGCATGCTTCGTCCATGGAACATTTACCTGTCTCAGCACAGAAATCCGTTCTATTCTCATCAATTCTTATATCTACTTCAGTATCTTGTGCGGAGCTTTCTTCTGGTTGCTTATCCAGGCCTTGACAAAATTGTGAATTATCAGAATACAAATCATCTGAAATAGCACCATATGAGGAAATTCTATTCTGACCTCGGATTCTGCATCCCAGTACCCTGTCAACCTGTTGGGGAAAAAGAGAATGCAAAAAACAAAGCATTAGATAAATCAGGATATTCTGAAGAACACCAGGAAATTCCAGATGGCGACAACTGGTGTACCCATTACCTGCAGATTTCCAGCAGGCAGAGAGTTTTTGTCATCACCGGAACTCAAGGGTTTAGCTGAATTACATGATCCCCGCCTTTCCACCTTGGGAAGCTTCTGCATGATTAATACGTTTATGTGAATAAGTACACGTAATAAAAAAAATTGGTAAACGAATACAGATAGAAGACTGCAAAACAACAGGATTAGTTTTTCTTTTTCACATGAGGCTTGCTATATATATCGACTCAACTGATTGCTGCATAAACTTCTTTCAAAAAGGTCCATGGAATAAGTCATCAAACTATCACGTTAACAGGTTAGGTCCTTCCGTAAATGGAAGCAATATTTATCATATCATCCAAAAGGAACAGAAGTATGGTTTAGATATTTATCAGTAATGCCTGTTCCATTCCAGGGAATTGCATAGTAAAATTGCCGTCACTTCCATGGAATGATCACGAAATTAAAACCAGCCCGTTGATGAACAGGCAAAATAAACCACTGGGTTCAGATAGCCAAATAAAAGATTAATTTGACAGAACGAAATCTTATGAAGAACTAAATGTCACAATGCTTGGATCCATTAACAATAAAAATTCATGACAGTAACAACCAAGGTTCATTGAGTTAATCCCAAAGATATTCAACAATAAGCAATGATTATCAGAAAAACAAACAAGAAAGAAGACTGGAAATTATGAAAACTCTACTTAACCATTTCCAAGGACATTTTATATCATTATCTGCTTCGGCACACAATCCAAAAGTCATAAGGACTTATTGAAGATGTGGCTATCAGAGGATATTCTCCCATGAACAGTTAGAGTATTAAGAAATCATACCTCAGCTTTCCCAAGTGTGTTCGTACTGGATAGATCTTCGGACAGAGACTTTAATGCCACAAAGTTTACGTTTTTCCTTTTTTTGGATGATTTCGAAACATTAGCAGCGCTCTTTCCTTTATCTGCCTTGGACTTCTTGAGACTGTCCTTGTTATTGTTTTGATGCTTTCGCTTTTTCCCTTTTCCCTTTCCATCCACTATTGAAACACCATTCTTGTTTTCTGGGGTTTCATGGCAAGCCAGTTCCAGCTTCTCCTCAGATGCTTCATCATTCCTATCTGGATTGGAAAGTTTAGATTCAGAAAGATATTCATCAGCAGTTGATGATGATTTTGTCTCAGAAGGCTGTTGATCTGATGGTGTTACATCAGGTTTTCTTAGATCGTCTTCTCTTTTACAGGATGAATCTGATCGGCCATCCATGGACATATAACCGAGTTCAGCCGCAGGACACACATCCATAAGAGAGGGATCAACTTCCTTTTCCAAAGATTTTCTTTCCTCAGTCAGAACAGTCTTTCCTTTCGTTGAAGATTGTTCTCCAGAAATTATGGAACCACAAAACGTTGGGGATGCTATCTCACGCACAGGCGACTTTGATCCTGCTTGTGAATTTTTCTTGATGTTTTTGGTCCTCGCCCGCTTTGCAATGGCCTCTAGCCGATTAATAGGCTTGAGTGTGTCAATCTTTTCGGAGCATTTTGGGCATAACCACTTCCCATTGGGAATTTTCTAAAGGAGAAGAGAAAAGGAGTAAATAATTTTCCGAATTGACTACTGCAACTCTATCTACCACATTTAACAGCACATAAATCATTTACCTTAAGAGGGGGTTTAAGGCATTCAATATGATAGGTCCGAGGACAACTATCACAGCATAGCAAATCACCCCCAAGGTCGCAAACCACACATTCGTAGTAATACTGGAACAAAAGGAAGCAAATACCATAAATCATATACCAAAATGATATCCTGAATTGCAATTTCATCAGCGTACGATCCATCACAACAACACCAGCAAGGAAAATACTAAACGGGAAATGCAAAATTACCCCATCATTTCCTTTCCGTTTCGAAGGGGACCTTTTAGGAGTTGCCTCAGTTTTAAGCTGGCGCTTGGTTGGTTTAGCTGGAGAAGTACATCTCGGGGACTCTGAGGCCACTGAATTATCTTCTTTGCAATTAGATGAATCCGGTCCACATGGAGGTTTTCTTCGTTTCCGCTTCATGGCCCAATCTCTATTAATCATTTCACTGTTTCATGAAGTGTTAGTTTTCATTTTTAATCCCTGGTTTCATGTTATATGCCCCAGTACAGCAACAGATAGATCTCCGTCTATAAATTGATCTGAAGTCTATACAAAAATGGTCTCGCTACAAGAATTGTCGCAGTAGAATGCCCCTATATTTCCATCAAAGGAAATGTTAATCAGAAAGTAACGTAAAGAAAAAGGAAGAAAATTACAACACGTAAAAAGACAGTATTCTGCAAACTGATAAGATATGTATCAATGAATTAGTAACCTGGTAATACCACATGAAGGTCACAGTTACAAAAGCGGCAAATAGAAGCTAGAAAGAATACCAGGGATCAGAATTTAACCTCTAGACACAATTTAAAGGGGGAAATAAACATTGTAAAAATGAATCATCGATGAAACGAAGGCACTGACCCAAAGCCGTTGTTAGATTATAAGCAACTGCGTCAACAGTTTTGTTACGCTAATTAGTTTCTCTATATAGATATAGCATATACTACGTATTAAACGGCAACACAGCAAATAAAGTTCAGTTGGCATGTGTTCTAAACGAAATACTGCATGCTAACATCTTAATAACGATCATTAACGGATTTTATTCAACTGAAGGTGTTCTACTTAAGAATACAGATAGTTTGAAAAACTAAACTAAGACACTTGCACTTAACCAATTAAATTGTTGTTACAACCTAAATCCAGCATGTAAACCCACAGGAATCTGTGTGAAGCGGGATCTTCTGTAATGAGACACTATCATACACGAATTGTCTAATGCCGATCAAGAACCATAAGAGGAGCTGAAGCATTCAAAACACACATTGGTTCCAGCTCAAGGCTCGGGCAGAAAACCCTCGAATCTCGTACGACTAACTAACCACAAACGCGATTCCAAGTTCAGCTTGATAAAATCAACACCATAGCCACGGTATCACACCCTCCAATCAAACGGCATTAACATCATAAAAGCATCAAATCCACAGGAATGAATTTCGGGAACCCAACATCAGAATCAGCAGGACTGAGGGAATCAACAAATACCCAGACGCAGAAACAGCTTACCTATCTCAAATCTGAAACAACTAAGGCCACACGGATTGAAGCGGAAGGGAAGTCGGAGACGGGAGTTAGGGATTGAGCCCGGGGAGCGATTCTAGGGCACAACCAGAGGGATAGAGACGAGGGAGAGAGAGATAGGGACGCGACACGCGAAACGACAAATAAATAGGGAGCCTTTCAGAAGAGTTTGTCGAGATAGAGAGAGTGAAGCATACGATACGGATTCGCCGGGCTCATAGGGGGACGGGCTCTGACATGGCACACCCCATGAGGAGAGAGAGACAGAACCGGAAGAGAGGGGACGGAGAGCGACCTGACCACTGCCAACACGCCACGTGTCGCTGTCAGGAACCAAAACACCCCTCCGATTTTCTTTCCTTCTCAGCTTTTTCTTCCTTTTTTTTCTCCTCCTCCCAAACACAGAGAGGACGACACAGAGGGCGAGAGAGAGAGAGAGAGAGAGAGAGAGAGAGAGAGAGAGAGGCGGCCATGGAATATCGGCGGGAGATGTTGGCCCGGTGGTTCTCGAGGAAGCTTCCATCCGGTTCTTCTGACTGAATTTTTCGAACGTTGCGGTTCTAAAGAAGTAGTTTGGTTTCTACTTCAATCAATCTCTGACTCTCTTTTTTCTTTTAGATTTTGTTGCTTTTTAAAAAAAAAACTGAAAATATCTCCTCCAAAGCCATATAAATGTCGGTTATTTTATATTTATATTTTTGGTTAAAATATTTACGTAGAGCGCCGCATTCCAGTATTTTTTAAGAATAAATAACAATAAGATGACTATAATGGAATCTACATGTGATGTGGACCGTACGGCTATGAGAATGGCTTTAACCAAACCGGAAAGTGAAAAAACTCTCACCATTTTAATAAAATTAGGCATTTGGTTAAAACCATAGAAGAAGAGACCTAACAGATGATCTTAATCAAGACCAAGACCAATAATATCTGTTTGAGAAATTTTTTATAACTCTCGGCAGCACATTATTATAACAATTTACAATGTTAATTATTAATACCCATATATGATATTTGTAACATAACTTGCAAAACTCAATTCGATATATATGGAATAATAAATACTTATGAAGAAACGATGTAGAAGCAGCTCCAATACCGTTTATACTATTATAATGTCGAACAATAAAGTCTACAGATTCTACAACCTCCTGTAACCGCACTTGGGGGGAATATTCCATTTAGTGTCGGAGACGGTCGCATTCTCCGACAAGTACCTTCTCCAGTCATCGAGGACAACCCTAAGGTACTTGACTTTGTTGTCCAGACCGATGCAGCAGTTGGCGTGCATGGTGTTGACGACGTTTATGTCGCGGCTCGGCTGGCAAAACCCTCCGAAGTAGACCGTGTCAAAGAATCTCATCTTGATCCCGAGTTGGACCACGAACGGATCGTTCTTGATGAAGTTGAAGACGTCCTGGTCGTGTTTTCCGGGGAATCTCCGGCTCGAGTTGCACCAGAACTCGTAGAACTTTGATGTCTTTTCGCTGGCTTTTACGTAGGTGAATCCCGAGTTCACCCAGTTGTTCTTGTCCGAGGGTTTCCCGTTGTAGTTGTCGCACGTTATTTGGAAGTCTCCTTCAGGGAAGAACCTCGGGAACGGATCCCGCAGCCATACTATATCCGCATCCTAACATTCAAAACAATACATACATACATATGTATATGTATGTATCAGCACCCTAACATTAGATCTAAGGTTCGATTTTCATTTAATGGAAATAACTTCTTGAGATGGCCCCTAACATTTCATCAAGATAAAAGATAGCCCATATGTAATTAATGCTTAATTTAGAACAGAAGATTAGAGCGGTCCAATGAATAGATATGATTATGAAACTACGTATATCTTCCTTAAACGTAAGGAAAAGTATAAATTACAAGATTATAAGGGTCCGAGTAATTAACAAAGTCAACTATAAGAGACGGTCAAGGAAAAAAAAACGTGTAAGTAATTAAGTAGAGAGATGAATGTACATACCGTGAAGATGAAGTTGTAGCCTAAAGCGAGGACTTCTCGTAGAGAATCCATTCGTTTCCAAATGAGCTTGAGATAACCGGGAGTCATAAACCGGTTCGGACCGGCTAATTCGTCTGAACCGGTGGCATTGATCAACCAGCAATGCGGATGAACCTGGGAGCAACGTTCGTAGGCCTTGTGGTCCAAACAGAAGGCGATTACGTGTTTCAACAGCCTCTTGGTTCCTTTCCCGACCTCGAAACTCTCTCTGAACACATCGAACGTCGAGTTTTCTGCCGCCCATGCCTGGTTTATCGCGGTTATGATCACGGTCTTGTCTTCCATGGCAGCGTTCATCAGCACTCTCTCTAGTTCCGAAACCGGTTTTCTCTGATATTGTAACAACATCAACAACTCTTTTGAGTATAAATTTCAGTTTTGTAATTTCCATGTTATTTGACATTAATTTTGATTACATTAAATACGATCAAACACAACGTCTCATTAATTTTGACCGTGGAATTAGTCATATATATATATATGGTCATTATATGACCGAGACAAAACATAATGGGAGATAGAATCGTTTTCAAAGCATAAACGTGTTACGTTTTCTCTCTTTTTTTTTCATCCCATGATTATCTTGATATCTCGCCCTCGAATCTATGTTATATCATCATCATATTCACTATATATAAAATTTTAAATTATGGTATAAAGTAATTAATATTGCATCTTAGGATCAAAGGCGATAACAAATCAAGATGAAACCCAATATTTCGATCATCACCATAAACGCACGCACGTACATGTATTTCTGTGGCAATCTACGAATAACTTGACAAAACCAACATTAATTGTACGTATATATATTGAAATATACACGTATTTATGTGAACTTACCGTTTCTAAAGAAGAAGAGTTATCAGTTTTCTCGGAATACCAATCGGTTTTCCATGGAGGCAAGACCGTCTGCAGAGGATTATCGGCCGAGTTGGAAATGAGAAGGCATGAAAGCGCAACCGCAGTTAGCAACAACACAACTCTGATCACATCTCTTTGGCCGACAGAGATCTCAGCCGGCGCCGGAGCCGGCTTGTTTCTGCCGGAAACTTCGACGGAGACGGCTTCATAGGCCGGAGAAGATTCAGGAGAGCTCATGTTCGTCATGGCTCTTGACTATGGATTTTTTTTTTGCGTGTATGGTTTTTTCTCTCCCTCAAGCCCTCACCACGCCTTTTAATAGTCTTAATTTCTCTTGGACTATTCTCTTTTTATTTTTCCCGTTCACCATTGCTTATGGAACAAGAAAACACGCCATCCCTATAGGTTTTTACTTATTAGAATACCAAAAGTTCTGCTCCGATTTTGGGATTTATAGCATGCACCAATTACCAAACCGGGACTGTGGTTTTAATTCGGTTCAATAATTTCCCATTTACCAATTTTCGGTTTGGTTACGTTTGAAACGAGAAACCACCCTCCATCTCTAAAGGTTTCCCAAAAGAAGCTCCAAATCAGTTAAAATGTAATAATTACTTACATACATACATACATATATATAAAATATAGTTTTTTCATGCACCTTATAGATTCGGTTACAATGAGCTATATTAGAATATTGACGGTACACGAGAAATGTCAAATGGGTTTTGATATTTGACATTCACGTTGAAACAAAACGATATTAACGAATTGTAAAGTCAGACACTTGGGGTACTTTGATTTTTAATTGGTGGATTAACGGGGAAGAAAAGGGCGATTTGTTCTTAATTAACCCGATTATCATGTGCATGTCGAATGGAACATGTGATACGGCGTGTACTATGTATAGGCTCATGCATATTTTATGTTAGGGAACATGTTACGAGTGAACCGAAGCCCGTGCGAAGAAAAATCATGTGAGCAGTGCAAAAATCCGGTTTTCTATTGCCCGGAAACAAATCGAACCGGCCTGGTTTACCGAGGTCTTGACGGAGGCAAATTTATAACGTGAAATTAATAAAATTTAAACAACTTTCAACAACTATATATCTAATGGATGACAGATTTTTTTATGCAATGGTAGCGATTAGTTCGGTAAAGGGAGTCGGTTAGTGGATACCGGTTTAAACCATTATGTTTGACCGGTTTAGTAGTTAATTCTTCCATTTACCAGCAGAGTACGTAGGAAATCCACCGGCATTTCAGGGTCTAATTACGTATTAGTCAATGATTTGCAACGTACGTAGAGGATTCAATAAAACCTTAATATTTTAATGTTGTTTAATCTCACTTAGATTTTCGTTTGTCTTTTTCCATTGGTCAGACCAAATATTAAATACCAACTTGTATTTCTTAACTAAATTTCCATAGGGAAAAAAGTTTTTATTTGACTAATTATTTATTAACATCTAAGTACGTAGGTTGCCAATTTTATTTAGGCTCAATAATTTTCTCCGTTTGGCAACCCTATAAATATATATATGCCGTCTAGAAAAAGTCAATATAATTCACCCGATACTAGATTACTATTCTGTATGGGAAATTTAACATGCCCTTTAAAATCTTATATATATATATATATATATATATTTGGTAAATGAATATGGCACATTAAATTTCCTCAATAGGAGAGCAAAGTTGGGCTCGTTAATGAAACACCAAATGTATCGTAACGGACATTCGTGGAATTGATTAGACCTTCATCGAGAGACAAAACCATTAACGTTGTTTGTGAGGACATCAACTGCTGCTTTGTCGAGACAAAACATCACATTTTCAATCTTCTTGTGTTCCGAAGAAAAATCGCATAATACTGAAATTTTACCAAATTTAATACTGAATTTTGAATATTTTAAAAAAGTATGAACTTTAAATTCTCGATTAGAATAAATAGCTCGCGTGGTAAACTAGAAATATGATTGATCTTGTCACGTAAAACAACACAATATAATAAGAAATTTTTAAATAGATAATATATATATATATATATATATATATATATATATTTTATATTGATAATCAAATATTATGAACCAAAATTCAGACTAATTTTGAGATCGTAACATCTATATGATTCGAAATATAAAACCTTTTTTTTAAATTTGAGATTTGAATTCAAGATGCGATATACGTTTTATACGTCTCTTTCACTGGTTGAACTACAATATATTCATATATATGTATATACATAGCTATATAACATTATTTATATACACAACCCAAAATGGTGTTAATGGTTTCTTGAGCACTCAAAGCAATTAGTGTATGTTAGAATTTGATAACATTTGAATAATTCAGTTTTAATATGAAAGTAAAATAAAAATTTTATATTTTGTTTATATGGTTTCAAAGTTCAATTTTTGTTTTTCTATTATTTCGTATTGTGATTTACAAAAAAAAAAAAAGAGTTTACACGTAGAAGACTTGACCAACGTTCAAAAGGGTTTCATGAGGAACGTTGAAAATGACGCTATTCTCCCTACAGATCTTCCTGAGAAAAGCGTACACATAATCTATGGCTATCTTCTTGGGCAGCAACGAGTCCCTTCTCGCCCTCACCGCCGTGTTCCCGAGTATATGCACTACGCCTGCGTCTCTGCACTCCTTCATGTACTCCAACTCGTCCGTCTCGTCCTCCTCTGCCGTCGTGACCGTGTTTCCCCGACTGCAATTCCCGTTCGCCGGAGAATCCACCGGCACGATTGTGTCCAATGTCGACACCGTGTAATCCACTATGGATGAGAACATGTCTATGTTGTTGTTGTTGTTGATCAGAGCCTCTCTCGATTGCTGTGTCTGTTGGCTGATGTAAACGCTGCTAGCATCTGAGTTTGAAGCTGGCTCCATCAACGATTCGATCCGGACGAACGAGAAGATGTTCTCGAAGAGCTTGTTCTCGAAATCGTCGTCTTTCCTGTGCAGATCTCTGTAACCGTACCTGTTCGAAGACATTCACTGGTATGTCATTAAACATGTCCTAAGGGTAGCAGTGAAGAGACGGGGAAGAGAAGAAGTAG